GCTGATTCATTTAGGAACGAAGCAAGTGACTCTCTTTATGAATGGGTCATTGAATCATTGACTCACTAGATTTGTTCAAAAACGCAGATTCATTCATAAACTAAATACCGCTGTGTTTGAATGGAGATGCGCAGCGGTTCAGCTGTGGATTTGTTTGGAACTATTTTTTTGACAATAGAGCACAATCAGACAACAGTGTTTCTAAAATGTAAGTCACTTTAATAGTAACTTTTTTATAAAATCAAAAATGTATAAAACTGATGCATAAAATCAATATCACATTTGCTAACTCTGTCACCCGTCTTCATCGCGATCTCACAAACTTGCATTTTAATTAATGAAGCTCTCAACACTGCACACTGAATTTATAATTTACATCGTCTCTACACTTTGTTTGTTATAATGAATGACAAACTGCAGTCTGCTTTCACGATCTGTTCTGTAAGGAGCAGGACGCGCACCAATAGAGAAGCATTTCTATTGGCTGCAGTCTGCAGGTATTATGGCAAAAGACGACATTGCGCAGCTAACCATATTCCGCTACGTTTTTAGTCTACATTACGCTACGTTTTATATACAGAACTGGGGTCGCTTTCGTAGACTTTTGATTGGATAAAGTATAGAAATCACTTTCATTTCCAATAGAACCTAACCAGTTGGAAGTGAAACGCCGTCCCCCTCGAAATTCACTCCCCGGACTTGAACTAATTCAAAATATTTAAAAAAATGATAAAAGTATCTAAATAAGATTGGACCAGCTCACCATCACTGCTGATGTCCCCAGTGATGAGGGACGGGTAACCGAATCCCACGCCGCCCTGGGACAGATACGCTTGCTCTGAGTAACTCAGGTCTTCTGGACTGACCACCTGCTCCTCTTCTACAAGAACTACAGGTGAACATGACATACAATACCACTGAAGAACATTTATGAGTTGTTCCCTTAAGAAGTTTTTTGTACCTGATGTGATACTTTAGATTTATAAGGATGGTGTATTCAGTGGTATATCTTAATGCAAACAGGCTGATTCAATCTTATTAAACCATTTATTTAATACATTTAAATATACTTGTTTGTCTTAAATATATACAGTAGTCAACATTTGAAGTGGATCAAAACCTTTCATCAAAGTTGTCTTAAACCAAAACAATACCCGTTCTTGTCTTAGGACAAGTTTCATGAACTTTTCTGATCCACTTCAAATGTTGACTACTGTATATATATAAATATATATACATACAGTGGCGGCAACAATTATTAGAACACTAGTATTTTACCAGATACATTTTTTTTTAAGTCAGTTCTTTTGACTCTTTATAAGATCTTTATCTAAAAGTCTATCTTTTGCTGTAGTGTGTCAGTATCAGTTTACATTTCCAAACATGCATTTTGTCATTAATTATAATAATCCAGTGAGATTTTTGTTTGCATAAGGACACCAGCCAGTGCTCCACACAGAGTTCTGATCTCATCATCATCCAGTCTGTCTGGAATGACTTGAAGAAACAGAACAAACTGAGACAGACTAAATCCAGAAGAACTGTGGCAACGTCTCCAAGATGCTTCAAGAAACCTTTTTATATCTTAATGCAAGCAGGCTGATTCAATCTTATTAAGCCATTTATTTAAAATATTCAAAATATACTTCTTGTTGAATCAGTGTGTGTGTGTGTGTGTGTGTGTGTGTGTGTCAGTATCAGTTTACATTTCCAAACATGCATTTTGTCATTAATTATAATAATCCAGTGAGATTTTTGTTTGCATAAGGACACCAGCCAGTGCTCCACACAGAGTTCTGATCTCATCATCATCCAGTCTGTCTGGAATGACTTGAAGAAACAGAACAAACTGAGAGACTAAATCCAGAAGAACTGTGGCAACATCTCCAAGATGCTTCAAGAAACCTTTTTATATCTTAATGCAAGCAGGCTGATTCAATCTTATTAAGCCATTTATTTAAAATATTCAAAATATACTTCTTGTTGAATCAGTGTGTGTGTGTGTGTGTGTGTGTGTGAGAAAGAGAGAGAGAGAGCACTTACCAGGCCTGGTGTAGGTCATCTCTGCCGAATGGATCAGCGGATGCCCCAGCAGAGGTTCAAGGACGGTGAGAAGCAAAGCGAAAAACAGAAAGAGTTTACACATCATGCCGACACGTACAGACACACGCAAACTCTCTTTGTTCCGCGACTTTAGCCTGGAGGGTTTCGTCTCTACGTGTCCGTCCGGTTTCTGTCTTGGACTTATTATACCATCGCTGGCCATGTCATCTCCCCGTCTCCATCGCTGACCTCCTCCCAACCCTTCGCATATTCTGTGCTTGTAAATTCACAGAGGATAAATTAATGGATCAATAAAAGTGAAACACAGACAGTCTGTGCGTCAGGGATGAGTCGTGCTGTTTTACCCATTCGGGATGTAATCCAGCCGAGTTCATAAATCCGCCCGAACGCAGGTGGAAAAACGGCACTTTGCGTTAGAGCTCGCAGGATGCAGTCGGCCAGGAAAATTGCCCGCTTAATTCATTTATTTAAGAGGCTGCTGAGATTTATTTCCCATGATACCCGCTGCGGTTAGTCAAGCATAGGCCTATCCTCCTTATGACCCCTGCAGCTATTTTAAGAGACTGGAAATGGCAAACAGAAAGTGTGACCAATTTTCTTAATGGTGTAAAGAAAAAAAGGTGGCAGTTGGCCACAGAGCTGCATGTCAATCACATTTATTGTGAGTGACACACTGCTTCCTCCGCATATCTATCAGTTTGGCTTCAGAAGTGGACATTCAACCAAGACTCTCGTTGTTGAAGCTCTAAGACTGGCAAGAGCGGCTTCCAAATCTTCAATGCGTATCTTGCTGGATCTGTCCGCTGCTTCTGACACTGTTCACCACCAGATCCTCCAGTCAACCCTATTGGCAAAAGGCATCTCAGGAACTTCGCTTCAGTGGTTCTAGTCTTACCTCTCAGATAGGTCCTTCAAGGTATCTTGGAGTGGTGAGGTGTCCAAGTTACAACATCTAGCATGCTGGGGTGCCTCAGGGCTCAGTTCTTGGACCACTTCTCTTCTCTGATTACATGGCATCACTAGGTTCTGAGATTCTGTGATTCACTCAACTCTACTTCTCATTCAATTCTGATGATCTGACGATAGTTGCTCGCAATGTCAGCTTGTCTAACAGACATTTCTTGCTGGAAGAAGGACCATCACCTTCAACTCAAACTTGCCAAGACAGAACTGCTTGTGGTTTTAGCAAACCTATCACTTTATCACATTTCACCATCCAGTTAAGCACATCAACCATAACTCCTTTAAGGACAGCCAGGAACCTTGGAGTTGTGATTGATGATCAGCTGAATTACTCGGACCACATTACTAAAACTGCCCGGTCATGCAGATTTGCAGATTTCAACATCAAGAAGATCAAGTCCTTTCTTTCAGAACATGCTTCACAACTCCTTGTTCAAGCTCTAGTTCTGTCCAGGCTGGACTATTGCAATGCTCTCTTGGCAGGTCTTCCAGCCACTTCTATCAAACCTCTACAACTAATCCAGAATGCTGCTGCAAGATTAATCTTTAATGAGACGAAAAGAGTGCATGTCACACCTCTCTTTATCAATTTACACTGGCTACCAATAGCTGCTTGCATAAAATTTAAGGCATTGATGTTTGCCTACAAATCACCACTGGCTCTGCACACCTTTACCTAAATTTACTACTTCAGACTTACAGTATGTGCCCTTCAGAAGCTTGTGTTCTGCAAGTGAACTACACATTATAGTGCCATCCCAAAGAGGCATAAAATTACTTTCACAGACTTTTACCTTAACTGTTCCCTCCTGATGGAATGACCTGCCCAACTCAATCCAAGCAGCTGAGTCCTTAACCATCTTCAAGAATCAACTAAAAACACATCTCTTCCATCTTTATTTGACCCTCTTTAGCACCCTCTATTCTAATTCTATTTTATCTACTTGTTTTCTTTTTATTTATTAAAAAAAACAACTTGACTCTCTAACACTTGCACTCTATTGTATTTCTATTCTAACTCCTTGTTTTGTTTTTATTAAAAAGGAGTTATTTATTCTTTTTCTATTCTTTCGACTTTTCTTTTTATGTATTTATAAAAAAAAACACCCTCTAACACTAGCCTTCTTTATTCTTTTTCTATTCTATCTACTCGTTTTCTTTTTATTTATTATATAAAAACCCTTACTCGTGCGATAGACTAACCGAGACATGTCACAGCACTTGTGTCACAGCACTATGTAAATATTATTGCTCTTTTGTTGGTTTTGATTGCTTCTATTGTCCTCATTTGGATAAAAGCGTCTGCTAAATGACTTAATGTAAATGTCACATTATAAAACTGTTTGTAGACCAAAGTCTTGAAACAATTCTTCAAAATGAGCAGCAGGTGGCGCGAAAGGCCCGTGTAAAACTCTACATTATTCTCTTTGTTTTGACTGAGAACAAAAGTAGCAGCCAAACTCAAACTGTCAGTGTGTGTGAGGAAAAATCTCCCAAACATGAAGAACGGAGGACATCGAGATCATGCTGGAGAGGAGATGATCCTGTGATAGACTGCAGTCACACGAGTGTTTGTGTTTAATTGTGTGTCACGCCTGATTCGTGTGTGTGTGTGTGGATGAGACGCGACTTTCACGGATCTGCGCGTGTCTGCAGAAGAGGGTAAGTGTGTTTTTATCATGGTTTCGTTGTTTTCTAAAGCAAATTTATATTACAGTGTTTATGTTGCTCTTATAACGCCTATATTAATTATAAAGTCTATTTTCGTGCATCTAAAACAACTTAAAAAAAAAAAAAAAAGTAGAACATTGACATGTAATTGTTTATATATAAAGTTTACTGTATGTGGTTCATTAGTATTCTTCGTGAATGTAGAAACAGCAACACTAAAACTGAAAGCATGACCTAGTTTTCCATGTATTACTGTAATGGGAATTATATAGGAAAATATTAAACTGGGACTTTTAACGCATTTTGTTTTAAGCTGTTAACATACTTATTTGGATAAAATATGGAAATCAGCTTCCCTGAATTAGACATGCACTTAAACATAACACATATTACTGTTTACTCTACTAGTGTAAAGTATTTTACACTGTATTAGACATTACAGTAGTTTTGCATGTTGTTTTTATATTATATTGTCTTAATTTTAGTGTTGGCAGTGATTTGCATAACAATATTTCTTGCAAGGTCAATCTAACCTGACCGCCAAACTTTACTAAAGCCATGCTGTCTTTGAGAGGTAAATGTATTTCAGCATTATATTTGATGATAATTCTGATTGGATTATATTTGACCTTTCTTGTTATTGATATGCAAAAATAATATCCTTAAAGCTTACCAAAATATGATTAATGGCTCACAAACAGGAAACAAACTTTTCCAACGTCTTCGTCCTCGACACAATGTGTGTTATTGTTCCAGGATTTATGGAGATTAGATTACGACTGGCACATTATAAAAGTCACACTGATTGCTTCTAGTGTTTAGCAGCAGTAAGAAATTGTGTTCGTGATACTAGTAACCTGTTAAACTGTTCTCATTGTCTCTCACTTCACATGTTTGTTGTGTTTCTCTGGTGTTTGATGCTGCAGGTTTCTTCAGTCATGGCAGAAACCGACATCGACAAATCTCACCTGCCCGGTGTTTATGACGGTGTGTCTGGGTTATTCTGTTTCGCATCTTTAGTTCTTTTAATATCTCCTTAGGTTTGCAACATGTTGCAGTGTTGTTGTTGATCTGATTTAAGGTTATACGCTTAAAACCCAGAAGGGGTGATGCTACTGTATACTGTATATAAGCCATTATGGTGCGCTTGATCCATAAAACCTAATATTGCTTCAGTGGAATTGTTCTCGTAATTGTAAGTGTGGTGTAAGTAGTATTGTATTTGATAACTAAAAAATAGTTTTCATTTATTGAAGTAAAGCTAAAATAAAATATAAATATTAAACTTAAAAAAATTTAAAATTTGCCTTGGCAACTAACTGAAATAAAATAAATATAGGTTATACTAAAATAAGTGAAAGTATAATAAAAGTATAAATAATAAAATGACTGAAAATCAAACTGAAGTAGAAAAATTAAAGCACAATAGAAATATTTTAAAAAACCTATAACCTTAAATCAAACGCTTATAAAATGCGCATAATCACTAAAACAACCTAAAATTGAAATCAAATCTGAAAATGTAAAATGCAAATTTACATATACATTTTTTTTATAAATACCATAAGAGCATTATTATCATTGACAAACAAAAAACATTACAAAATCTTTTCATTAATTGAAAATTGACAATTTTATTTCAATTCATGTTTATTTTATTTCAATTAATAAAAACGTTATTTTGTTTCAGCAAGTTGCCAAGGCAAAATTTCTCATTTTGGTTTAATTTAAAATGAAGTACTAAAATAACTAAAAGTAAATCAATTAAAAACTCAAACTAAACTGAAACTATAGATATATTAAAAAATAAAAAACTACAATGATAAACTATTGAACAAAATAAAAATTTCAAAAATATAATTACAGTAACTTTGCTGAAATTAAAATGAAAACTGATATATTCATATTTTAAAATGTTAACTGCTTACCAATAATGCTAAAATAACACTAAATAGTATATATATATATATATATATATATATATATATATAAATGGCTACTAAAAAAATAACACTGGCTGTAAGTCACTTTTTGTAAGTGCAACATCTAAATACACTAAACAAATTAAACAAATTTCTTTCTAAAAAAGAGAAAGTAACTTACAAAAAGAAAGAAAGAAAAAGAAAATGTACATAACTATAAATAAGTGTATTTCATCTCTATTACTGCATATATATATATATATGGCTACTAAAAAAATAACACTGGCTGTAAGTCACTTTTTGTAAGTGCAACATCTAAATACACTAAACAAATTAAACAAATTTCTTTCTAAAAAAGAGAAAGTAACTTACAAAAAGAAAGAAAGAAAAAGAAAATGTACATAACTATAAATAAGTGTATTTCATCTCTATTACTGCATGCAGGAAACAACTGCACTTGCAAAATGTATTTATTTGCAGCAAACCTACGTGTAATTATCCATAATCTGTCCGTTTTCTGAAAGAAAAAGCATTCAAAGAAAAACTTTTGGGTTAAAACTTGGTTTAAAAACCAGGTGCTCGATCAGCAGCTAGTTAATATTCCTGTGCAGGTTTTCCGGGTGAGTTGTGTTGTCTTCGATGTTGTTTGGCAGGGCTGCTGCTGTGTGTTGTAGGAGATGAGATCAGAGTTCAGGAATGTGATGTGAGCTCAGGACAGATCGAGCAGGAGAGCGAGCGAGCGTTGTGTGGGGCTGATAAGAGCCGGAGACCGTCCGCACACTCGTGCTCTTATCTGCCCTGGATGAGCTCACGAGCTTCCCGGCGTTCCTGTTTCTTAAACAGGATTCGGGTCGAGATTCCAATCTTCTCCTGTTTTGGCCTAAAGCTGGAGGCAGGAAAGGGGTGTGAAGAGTTCAAGTGCAGGAGAGTTTAGATGAAGAACACACAAAGACAGTTCTGTTGCGTTGCTGTTTCATATAAACTGATGCACGGCTGTAGTTGTACCTAGAAAGCAGACAGACTGTCTGTGCGTGAAACTGGACACTATATAAACACCTACCCAAGCTTTTGGAGCCAAGCTTCTGACCTGTTTCTTTGAGTTCATGCGTGACCCCCCCCCCCAAACTGCACTGTTGGATATTTATAGCTTTTGCTTCTGCTCCTCGTGCCAAATATAGACAAAGAACTGCAATAGAAAGCCAGAGTTCGGGAGAGAAGAGCAGTGTACAGGAAAAGATGAGGGATAAAAGCATGATAGTTTCATGCAGGGGTCTTGATTACTGTCTTTTCTCTCTTTTCTTTGTTTCTCTGACTCTGAATAGCACCATCTGTTTGGCCCGGGGGCCTCCGCTCAGCTGAGGGGGGGTCAAACGACTGCGAAAGACCACTGTCTTATTCCCACAAAAGAGTGCACACTTAACGTTAAAGGAATAGTTTAGCCAAAAATTCAAATTTGCTGAAAATTTACTCACCCTCAGGCCATCTCAATATGAGTTTGTTTCTTCATGGGAACAGATTTGGAGCAATGTAGCATTACATGACTCCTCTTCAGTGAATGGGTGCCGTCAGAATGAGAGTCCAAACAGCTGATAAAAACATCACAATAATCCACAAGTAATTTATATGACTCCAGTCCATCAATGAATGTCTTATGAAGTGAAAAGCTGCACGCTTTTGTGAAATAAATCTATCATTAAGGTGTTTTAACTATTGCTACTTTTTCCCTCAATCTCAAAGCTGTGGGAAATGTAGTATGATACAAACCAGTGTGTTCGAGTCGATCATTCATGTTCACATGTCTACATTTAAATGCATCAAAGCTGTTTCCTTAGATTTCAGGAATTGCCCGTCGCTTTTCTTGGTTCAAGACCAGTTCTTATTTTTAGTTGCGCAGCACTGACTCTTGTTATGCACAGAAACCCCTTTTCATGGCATTTAGTTTAACTGTGAGTATGCCAACCTTTATGAAACAGGCTTCTGTCTAGAGAGCGCCCGTGTCAGCTTTTCCATCCCGGATCAGGGTGGAGGTGGCAGCAGAACCAGCAGGGCTAACCTTTTTTAAAAGCCATCTACTTGAGCACCAGTGCTGTTTACTAACAGTAGAGCACATAGGATGAGCTCACACGCGTGTGTGTATGTGCTTCATGACAGTAGAAGGAGTTTGAGATACGGACGCAGACGCAGCTTTCAAAACGGTAAAATCCACTGCAGAATAACGAGGGAATAGTATTTTTTAAATAGTGGTAGTCTGAGTTGGTTGTATAAACTGTTATATCGTTATATGCTTCTTTGTGAGCATTTAATATGTCTTTAAAATGTCCTACAGCACTGACAGATATGTAATTAGACGACCTGTCTTTTATAATGGAGTGTCAGCTTTTATGACTCTGATGTTTAACATGCTTGTGCGATAGTTCATGAGCTTTTATTAGCTCACTCAATTTTCCACACTTACTTAAAGAGAGCACGGGACAGAGGGGGAGGGGGAGGGTTGTTGTGTTATATACCCAGCTAAAAAAAATATGTTCTAAGAACGTTTTGTTAATGTTCCCATTAAGATGTGATGTTCTCTGAACATTCGAAACATCCAGTTTTTAAAAATGTTTATTCTTGGTTACATGAACGTTAGAGAAAACATTAAGGGAACTTTCCATTTGATTGTTTTGCAATCCAAACCCTACACAGCGTTTAATGTGTAGGGTCTGTTTGACCTTCAGCAGTCTTTTGTGTGACCGCGTGTTTGCTTGAAGGTCTTTCTTCAGGTCGATATTCAGTAGAGTCCTGTCAGAAATGGCATTTGAGTGAGCTGCAGTTTTGGCCGATCACACTGATATGTGGCTTAATGTGCTTTTCCTCTGAGCCATTGTGTTAATGTTGTTGACCCAGTTGGCTTGGCAGTAGTTTTCCCGTTTGGGCCCCAGTGTGGCATTATTAGCGGAGCAAAGGCAGAGATGGGCCCAAACATAAACCTGCCCTAGAGAATGAATTGCACATGCAGATAGCGCTGTTTATTTGCACAAGCTGTCTAGCAAGAAATAGGAGAAGAATTGCACAAATACACCCCCCAAAAATAGTGAACACAAATAGTGAAATAAATTTTGTGAACACAATCTGCCCATTTTGCAGGCCAGTTCTGCAAGCCAGACACCCAAATCACCTTTTTAAAATGTTAATTTTAAATCATTTTAGATATAATCCTCTTCTCCATCATTTGATCACCATTTTATTCATTACTGCTGCCATGATCTATTATGTATATACTATTTTAGTGTTAATATTTTGAATTAGCTTATATTTTCAGTGAATTTTAATTTTAGTTTGTTTTAGTCATTTTATGTGCTTTTGTCATTTTTATTCATTTTTGAATATTTAATATTTCGGTAACACTTTACAATAAGGTTCATTAGTTAACATTAGTTAACTACTTTAGTTAACATGAACTTAGAATGAACATTTAGTCAATGTTAATTTCAACATTTACTAATGTGTTAGTAAGTCATGGGAACTAATGACTTTACTAACTAACTAACTAGGGAAGTCATGGCCTAATGTTTAGAGAGTCGGACTCGTAACCCAAAGGTTGCGGGACGTCACTTTTTTCACTTTATTATTAAAATCAAAAGTTGTGCTTTTTAATGCACAAGTATTTTACCATGTTTTAAAGGAAGTTTTGAGCACTCTGCCTTGTGTTACCAACTCTGCTTTAAACTAACAGCACCCTATAAATGTGGTAAACTCACTATAATGTACCCTATAATGTACCCTTTAATCACCTGTTATTTTAATAATCTTGTCTGTATTTTTGTGGTTTTCCCACAGTGTGCCAATGTTTCTCTGTGTTAGAGGACGGTGCTTTGGCTCACAGTCTTCAAGAGCAGGAAAGTGAGTATAATCATCTTTTTCCTGTAATCTTGCTCATCCTTCCTTCTTACAGAAGTAAAATAGACCTGATTGATCTTTATCATGTCAGTTGAGCAGTTCTACAGCACCAACATCCAGAAGAACCAGGCGGTGCAGAACGATGTTCGTTTGGCCCGGAGGCTGCAGGAGGAAGAGGAACAGCGATCAATTCTCCACCAAGACCTGCGGCAGCTGTAAGCATCATCAGGCCTCGACACGTGTCCCGAATCACTCAGTCAGCAACATGGCAAAACCACAGACATTTAGGATACTCCGATTACTTTGTGGAAACAGATGCGTTGACTCGTTTGTGTTGCGTAACTTGATTAGTTTGTATATTGTGAGGTATAAGTTGAAAAACCACAGGGAAAAATATTTCGATCTTGAGCGTAAAATTAGCCTGGCATGATTCACTAGAGTTGTTTTTTTTCCCGCTGATTTGCAGCACTTGTTTAAACTTAATAGTCAAAAGTTATAAAGTTATTTTATGGGCTTTTATGCTTTTTTTATTAAAATAGGACAGTAGAGCGGTGACAGGAAAGCACTGGGAGGAGAGAGGGGAGCGGGATCGAGATGGGAATCGAACTCGGGTCGCCGTGAGCGCAGTTGCGCTATGCACTAACCACGAGGCTATTGGCGCCGTAAGTTAAACTTTGTCTTGTTTACAGGGAGGAAGAGGACTGCAGATACGCACAGATGATCCAAGAGGAGCTCCAGAGGTGTGGGGAGGATGCCAGGAGGCGAGAGAAAGAGGATGAGGTGCGTTTCATTAAAACATGATAAAGGATTCATCGCGATTAATCGCATCTAAAATAAACGTTTTTGTTTACATAATATATATGTGTGTGTACTGTGTATATTTATTATGTATGTATAAATACACACACATACAGCATATATTTTGAAAATATTTACATGTATATATTCATATTTATATAATTTCTATTATATTTAAATATATTTAATATATAAACATAACATATTTTTTCTTAAATATATACATGCATGTGTTTGTATTTATATATACATAATAAATATACACAGTACACACACATATATATTATGTAAACAAAAACTTTTATTTTGAATGTGATTAATCGCGATTAATCGTTTGACAGCACTAATTTAGATCCATCTAAAACACATCCATCATGTGTTTGGTATCATACATTTTGCTAAGATGATTGTCACTTTTAACTGAAAGGCGGGACTTTTATTTCTGCAGTCACTGTATTGAATGTTGTGATTTCTCCCATTCATTTCTGTACAAAAAATTATATTTTTTTACATTTCTTACTGTCACTGATAAAATTCCACCTAATGTGCTTGATACACAAGCACAAAAATACACCGAAAAAATGCACTGTACACTGTGTATTTGAAAGTTGTAAATAAAAATGATTGTGTAATTTGGATTACGTGATTAGATTCCAAAAATGAAGTACTTGTAATTTAAATTATATTACAATGCTCATAATCAGAATACAGTCACTTTTTTATAGATTACATGATTATTCATTTATTCCATTTGATGTGCCCTAATTCTTCTTTTTTTCTCTCTTTCTAAAATTCCACTGCTTTTATAAATTTGGAAAGTCTTCAAGCTTTTCATCAACTCATAAAACTCCTGTAGTTCATTCGTGAACCCCAGTTTGGGAAACCCTGGCATAATGTAACGTTTAATACACTTCATGATGTTGATAACAAAGAATCGCATATATTTTAGGTCAAAAGTAATCAAAAAGTAGTCAAAATACATAACCTAATACTGTATGTGTAATCCAATAGATTACGTTACAAACTATAATTTCCGTCGTGTAATTTGTAATCAGTGACAGACTACAATTTGTAAGTAATCTACACAGCGCTATCTGTTGTTAATTATCTGTCCTTTTATGTTAAGCTTATTAAAACACCTGTGTGGAGTGGCAGTTGTGTAGAGATGCTTTTGGACAAGAATAAAGGAGAGAAAGAACATAGTAGACAGAAGAGAGTGAGAAGACTGAGGCCCGACTCGGATCTTGCACTCTGATATCCATTGGCTTCAAGTATTCTATTATGTCCTTTATTTTGCTGTTGGGCGACATTTCTGTCGCCTAAAGGAGCAGCTTTGTCATCTTTGTTGTCAGGAGTGGTTTTTGAAAGTGTTCCCATGGCGTGTCCGGGGTGACGAGTGGTTTGTCGCTGAGGAGGTGGACGTCATCTGGGAGGCCACGTCCCGCCGGATGCTTCAGTGGTGAAACAGTGCGGTCCTGTATTTGTGGAAAGACTGTTTACAAGAGGCTTTCTGACTGAGGCAGTCTGTCTGGAGCCCTTTATTCCACCCTTTGGAAAGACGTCTTGAGAAAGTAATGGTCTATAGTACTCTGACTCGTTTGACGAGACACAGTGCTTGGCTTTGATATTTTATTTTTAATGCAGTGACAAATTATCGATTTTGTCCACTTTTTCCAGATTAAAGGCAATTGCCTTTTGTCTCTCTTGTATAACGTTTCCTAGTTTAGTGGTCAAAATATCATAAAAATCTCAGTTGTTATTGTCTATAAATTAAAAAACAGGGACATCATAGGGTGACCATACGTGCCATTTTCCCCGGACGCGTCCTGGCCAGGATTTCTATATTGCCTAAAATATCTAGGGTTTGGCTTTGTTTGCGTGTGCAGACCGATCGGTGTATGACATCGGTTCCTTGTGTTTTCGAAACGCTGTCGAGGTACTTTGAATCAAAGCAATATAGAAACCCTGGCCAGGACGCGTCCTCGGAAAATGGCACGTATGGTCACCCTAGGACATCACATTTTTGAATGTTTTTTGTTTTTAATTGTTTTGTGTTTCATAAACTGTCATGCGGGTCTGACTGACCTTAACTGGTTTTAATATAATTGGTTTTAATTTTAATTCAATGAAAATCACATTATGAAAAATAGTAAATAGTAAACCATTGCAAATAATGGAAAGATCAAAACAATATATATAATAAAATTATGATTATTATGAAAATTAACACATTGCAAAAATAAATATGGGAACAAATGATAAAAATGGAATTCAAGTTTTTTTTTTACATTTAAAATTTAATATATATATATATTTTTTAATTTTCTAATTACTGTGTATATATTAATTTTATAAAACTGTGAATATATTGTAAACAGTAATTACAACTTTTTAATTTTTTATGGTTGTGCTTTTGGAAATGGAAGTCAACATTTTTATTAAGATTTAATTCATTTTTATATTTACATTTTTATGCATAATATGCATAATAATTAAATGCATAATAAATAACATGTAAAGGTATAAAAAAGTTAGTTAAATAAATGAATTTAATGACAACAATAATATTAATTTATTGTTGTAATGTTGTAATATTTATTTTTATATTTTTAGTAAGATTTTTATTTGGGCTTATTTTTCATTTAAGCTCATTTTGAGAACAAATGTGGATATTTGATTTTTAAAATTAATTTACATTTATTTTTCATTTATTTATATTTATGTAAATGTATTTATATATTATTTACTGCTGGTTGATTAGTTAATTTGCAGAACACTGAAAACCAGGACTATCCATAGAAAATGTGGATGTCTGGTCATCCTGTTTTACATCAGGTGGCATTTTTGTTTTTCTGCTAACGGTTTGCAGCCTGTGTGCTTCAGCAAAAGAAGACGTCCATCAGCACCTGCTCTGTTTGTTAGCCGAGTGTGTTTTTGTCCGATATGGGCTGTAGTTGTGCTTGAACACCTGGTGTTGACTGTCCTCTCTGCCTTGCGGTGACAGTTATTAGCTGCAAATGGAGCGGTGTAGTGGAGTAGAAGGGATTTGTACTGGTAATTGACTTCCTGCATTTCTGCCAGCCTGTGAACAAAGTCTGTCTGTGTATGTCCAGTGGAGCTATAACAGCCCTTTCTTATTTTGCGTGTAAAATCATCTTTCTAGTAATGGCTAAATGTAGTCATCTATATCTTAACAGTTTATTGGTGTTCTCGTAACTGCTGGTGATATTTTCCTAGAATCTTTATCTGTGTGACCTCTGTCAACACTTTGTCAATTATTTTAACACAAACACAGTGCCACCTTCACAAGGCAGAAATCTCATAGCACACAAGAGAGGAACACTGCTGGCAAGGCAAGTGTATTTAGATATCTCATTATGTAATTAATTCAGATAACTGGTATAATAAACAAAATGTTATATGAAAGTCATGGTTAAAATCATAACTTAAAATTGTCTAAGGTATTAATGAAAAGTTAACAAGAACAGAAAAAAATGGAATTAAATGCGTAATGAATAATAGGTAAAGGTATAAATAAGTTAAATAATTTAATAACAATAATATGAATTTGTTGTATTTTATATATATATATATATATATATATATATATATATGAGCAATATCACAGTCGTAGCAGTGCGATATAGCTGTATATCAGCAAAGCTGTGATTAAGACATAGGGAATCACAGCATGCAGATATACAGCCATATCACAGCAGTTCGATGGCATAAGTGTGTAAATACATAAGAAACAACAACAGAGTGTCTTTAAAAGCCCTCTTTTGTGCAGAACTACTTCCTTCCGCCACGGATTCAAATCTAAAGTTGACAGTTGAACAGCTGAGCCCAAGCCTCCGTTACTAATTCCAAAACGTCACTTTAAAACTATTAACGAAGGAACGTTGAGTTGCTTCATTGAAAGCTCACTGTATTATTTAGAGTATTTTGAGAGAGAGATGGACGGAGCGAGTGTGATTACCTGCATCTGATACAGCGTACAGTGAACGGTCGCTGACATCCTGGAGCTCACATCTCCGTAAACATTGATGCAAATTTTCAAATAGACGTTATCTTTATTAACAAACCACATATTTGAAGTCTAAACAAGTACATTCACACCTAAAAAAAAAATCTTAAAACTACATTCCGTGACACAAAAACAGTATTATTTCTAAAATTCTAGTGGATTTGGGCGTCTGCCATAACACTCGCTGTGAGAAATACTGCAAGTGGAGTGATACAAACAGTGAAACGGTTGGAGTTCTGTTATCACTAGAATATCACACTCCTCTCAGCCAATCAGATGGAGGACCAGAAAGAACTGTTGCGCACACACACACACACACACACACACACACATATATATATTTATTCGTTTATTTATTTAT